TTTCAACTGTGCACTACTGAATGAAGGCAGGGATGCCTGTATTTTTAAAAAGTATTTTCCATTGATTATATGTCAAGACATCGGCAATCCATTTGGATTTTTCTCAAGTCTATGGCTGCCACAGACCATTGCTTGGCCGCTGTAAGAACATTCTGGGTACTTTTGATATAAACATCTTTGTCTCTAGGCCTAGGATGTTAAGACATACATAGGATACAAGGCTTTCTTCATCATTTGGAAAACTCTTTCTTGAGACTGCAGCCCCCTCAACTTACCACTTTGTCCCCCACTAGAGGTCACTGAGCTCTGCTTTGGTAGAGAAGGTTTTTGTCACATACTTCAGTAAAATACTTCTAAAATTTGACTTAGGATTTTGTTTCGCTGTCTCTATGAGTCTTTGTTTCAGATTTTAAATGATTATCTGGCTTGGGGCTGCTTAGACAGAGTTCTCTCATTGTGGGTCTGTGATGCTTCTTCCATGCTGTTGTTATGGCTTGCACTACCAACCTCATGGTGTGATCATGATGCCTCAATAGGACAATGTGTGCAAGTGTGCCTTGCAGACTTTAGAAGACCCCACAGATGCCAGGACCTTGCTTTACTCTGTTAACCTGTAGTGAACTCGAAGGCTTGAACCGGTGTGCTCCGAGTGTCCGGTTGGCCTTTGCAAATGAAACTGGAGCACAAGGCCCTGCCTTTCTCTGAGTGTCACTACTCCTGAGTGTCATCGTGTTTATGGCTGTATGACTTGGCACCCCATAGGAGGGAGTAATTGCTGCAGCACCCGCTGAGTGTGTGGCTGAAGGAACAAACGCAGACAAGTGTTGAGTGGACTCCATTTCTCCTATGATGTGTGTGGGACCAGAGTGACTATGAGTAAGACAGCTATAAATGGGTCATGGGGAGGCATAAACATCACATGATCCTTAGCCTGGACTTGAGTGGTACAGGGGAGGTCTTTGGTATATTTCTTACACTAGCCAAAATGTGCCCTGGCCAAAGGGAAACTGGAGGATGGGTTTCTGACTTTTCAAATTTAGGGGAGAAAAGAAGTGTTGGGTAACTGCCGAGTGACTTTTCATCGGGGTATTTCACCTTCCCATCCCAAGGCTAGGACACAGCAGCGTCGCTGACAACTGTTTTCTAGGTGGCGAAGCATCATGGCCCTGGTGATTGCCCAACACACTTGCATTCCAACACCCTGACAAACAAGTGTGCTTTACAGCAAAGGCAGTTTTAGCTCTGGCTAGCTTCCCATTGATTCCATTTCTAAATTAGAGCCCTGACTCAGAGAACGGAATGCTGGTCTCTGGATTCCTGGCTTTTTGTATTCTGGTATCAGCCAGGCATTCTCAGCACACACTGAGTCCCATGAGACCAGCGATACAGACTGCACTCCTCTGGGGCTTTGAAGTTCAGGGGAGATTATATTTGACTTTATCCGTGAGCAGAGTTCTGTGCCTGGGCTCACTTCAATTCTATGGGAAAGGAAACTGGGTGGGCTACCGGGTGATCTATAAGACAGTTTGGATGTTTCCACTGTCTTGTCTATTACTTCCTGCCTGGCTCCTATAGGAACAACCAGGCTCAATCTGTAGCTAGAGGGAGTAACTGGAGTGCCTAGTGCATAACAGGTAACCAAAATTGGTAGCATCACCACCAGCTCTTTGTCTTTTCTCACTGAAATACTGGCTTATGGCACGGACCCAGAATCCCCCTCTTTAACTAGGGTTTTGCAGACTGCTTTGGCTCTTAGGCATGCACAGTGGCTGAGGAGAAGGAGTCTACTTTCTTTAAGGCTAGTGCCATCTAAATAATATTTCTCAGGAAAGCCATGATTTCACGTAGCTGGGAAGATGCCGAGTGATCAGAGTCCGCATCGAGCCTGTCATATAAATGGTACCGTCTCTGGGCTGTAGACAGTGCTTCACTGTCTGGACATTTCTCAGAGAGAAATCACACTTCACAGAATATGCCTCAGTGACAATTTGCTATGGATCATCACCCCTTTTATGCTGTTCAGAGAAGTCCAAGGAATGTCTTAGCTTCAAGGTCAGCTTGTTATGGATTCTCGCTTACCCAGAAAGGCTGGCCATATGTCACCCAACACAGCGCTCACTGCAATAAATTGAATATAACACACTCTAGTCATGGGACTTCGTCTGGGGTCCAGAGAAGAATTGACAGCACAGTGGGGACATAGCACATCAAATCATCAGTCTTGGCTTATTAAATCTGCGACCCCTTGCTCATTCCTGCTGTCTCACATTGAAGACTGTGAGGTTATCTGTAACTCCAGCTCAGTTATCATTTCTCCACTGGTCCCGAGGCTTCTGTGTCAGGTGCAGTTGAGAGGCCAGCGGATGGAAATGGAAATGGATAGGGCATATACAAATCCTTCAGAAAGTTCTAGCCCACGGCAGGAGAGTCATAGCGGGAAATGCAAGGGGATGAAGATGAGGCACAGCAGCAGACTTACCGTATTCAGGGGCCACCCGGAGCAGAATGGGAGAGGTGGGGTGACAGTCCCAGTGTGTTAGCAAAGGGCAAGAAGTCTGATGGCCTTGCCATGTTGCAGAAGCAGTGCATGCGTGATTCGGTGAGCTCAGAGGGCTGAAGTATGAGAGAGGATGGTTACAGATAGAACTGGCATGGTGCCCAATGTGAGACATGAGGTGGCCAGTCAGTGACCTCCATCTCATCTAGAAACCCAGGGCGGGACAAAAGCGGCATCTTACTTACTCTTGGGGACTTTTGAAAACTGTTAGGAAAAAAACCCTTAAATATATAACAGTGCAATGAATAAGTAACATGCACTGTTAATATACAAGGGAATTCTATCCAACCTAGAAATTCTGCACTAAAGCTCATGGACGATCTGGGCAGCATTATACAAAGTGAAACATACTACTCACAGAAAGACATACACTATATGATTTAATTTATATGATGTACCTAACTAGTCAAACTCATAAAAGCCAAGATTCTTGCTAGGGGCAGGTGACATGAAGAAATAAGGGGTTACACATCAGTGGATATAAAATTTCAGTTAAACAAGATGAATTATCTGTAGGGATCTACGATACATTTGACCTAAGCCAACAATAACATATTTTATACTTAAATGTTTGTTGAGAGAAGATCTCATGTTGTGGTCTTACTATAATTCAAAAATCAAATTCTTTAGAAATTCAAGAGGTCATTTCATTTTACAACCATAATGGCCTCCTGCTTTTCCCTCTAGTTCAAAGAGCCATCCAAATCATCCTTGTTAGTAGACTGGAAAGAGCCTCAGAGTCCAGACACCTAAGTTAAAATCCATTTTTTCCCATTTAGAGGATGTGGGGCTTTGAGCAAGTCCCTTTGCTTCTGGAAGCTCTCTGCATTTTATCTCAGCAAGGAGAGCACTACAGCCTACATCCCGGCCATGTTACAAATGTTCAGAGCCACGGAGGGCTCTGTGAGCTCTACAGATGCATACTGTGAAGCAATGCTTTCCAAAAGATGTCAGCTGTACACTTCTCCTCAGGGCTCATGGGCCATATCTGGGCGCTGCGACTCCCACTAGCTATGAGAGAGCTGGAGAAATATAGCATTTGGCTTGGCAGCGTTTGAAGTGGAGAAGAAATCAAGGGCTATGGAGAGAACCCAAGTCTTCGATTTTGCCCCCGCAGTCATGTCACCTTTGCCTGCAGTTTTTTTTTTTAAAAATCCAGCCATTGGTAATAAAAAAAGATATCTATTCTACTTAAAAACAATCAGCCCCAGTCACATGAGTAAAACACACAAAGAATGGCACTTAAGACTAATGGGAAACAAATGTGTCAATAATGTGTGAGACTTGCTAGGGAAGACCTTTGGAAAGAAAAGGCACCATGTTATTAGCTATCGCTGCATAATGAATGGCTTCCAAATCCAATGATGAAAACAAAAGATGTTTTCATTCTGGCTCATGTGTTTTGTGTTTAGCTGCTCTGGGCTGTACTCACTTAGGAGTCTTCAAGTCTTTGAGATCTTTGCTACAGGTTTCTCATTCTCTGGGGGTCAAAAGGCTTGCCTGGGCTTACTCATGTTACAGCATTAGCAGAGGAACAACCAAACAAGCAAAATCATGTAATACGTGTAAAGACACTTCCATTTCATTTCCTTGGCCAAAGAAAATCACATGTCCAAACCCAGGCATTAGGGCTTACACCCTACCCACAACTGTAGGAAGCTATAGTCACATGGCACTGGAAATGGCTAGAGAAAGGGCTGAATTAGAGCCACGAATGCAAATTTCTACCAGGCTAGGTTTCGCCAAGTCATAGTTTTAAATTCAGCATGCATTTTTAATTCTTTAGAGGAACACCATCCTAATTGAGTCCGCAATTACTTAAATCGCTAGAACCAAGTTGATGGCTATACCATGCCTTTTCTGCAGTTCACATTGCATACTTAGAATTGAGAGATGCATTTGTAAATCAAAATGGGGTCTTATGCCTCATTTAACTTGTGCTAATCATATTGGTATATAAGCTGTCCCTAAAAATATCACATGAAAACTAAATCAGTGAACTTGGCCAGCGCATTAAGTGAACTAAGCTAGATAGAGAAAGAAGAATGCTGTATGACCTCACTTGTATGTGAAATCTAAATATTGAGTTTGCACAAGCAGAGAAAAATATAATGGTGGTTTCTATGGCGCTGAAGACATGTGAAAATGTTGAGAAGGCATAAAATGTCAGTTACATGCAGGAATGTTGTCCCGTATGGTGACTTCTGTTGATAAGGTAGTACATATTTGGAAATTGTTGAGAGTAGACTGTCAGTGTTCTAACCATAAAAAAATGTGTGAGTTGTTATAGATGCTAATTAGCTTGATTTAATCACTTCATGGTGTATGCATATATCAAAACATCACATCACATTGTAGATATACAATTTCTGTTTGTTAGTCATATCTTAATAAAATTAAGGAGGAAAAGAACCTAATGATGTGTTTGCCTTTTCTTTTGCAGGGTTGATGTGAAGAACTAAGGAGAAAAAAATGGATTAAAATAAATGCACTTCTTAAAAAATTTTATATATTTGTATGACGATTATGAACCTTCTGAATACCCAAGACTCTAGAAAAAATATCCTGTCTGTACATTTATATTTCTTCCTTCTAGTTGGTTGCATTTCCCACTTTAGTTACATTTTTGGCACCTTGCAGAGCAAATTAGCCCATGAATTCAGCAGCCGGGGAGCGTGGTTTTGAGGAGAGATGTGATTGTGTGTAGGGCTATGGCAATGCGCCTGCAGTGATCTGGATGTTAAGTTCTTTAAGTTGCTGATTCTCAGAGTCCCTTGGTCAATATTTGAGAGGTCTTTTAGTTCTTCACCTTTTAAATTACCTCAATTAACTTTTTATGAGTTCAAATAAATATTTGAGTAAATGTAAAATATGAATCTAGACTAAATTAATTTTCATACCTTCAGATAGCTACATGTTCCCTAAAGTGGAGAGAAATATGATGTATGAGGCAGTCAAATTCCATATTGCCTAAGTGGGGCCTTCTGAATTATTAGGCACCATGGGAAACACTATGGCTGACTGATCATCGCATATGAGCTTAAATATTGCATGAGTAATTTTGTACTGCTGTTACCTCCCATCCGAGGAAGACATGGATGGTGAGTGCATTTTAGATCCATGGAGGCTCCGAAATCTCCTATTCTAGAAGGAACAGAGTTCATTTTAATACCCAGTAAAGTAAAGCTGAGTGATGAGATCAAAAGAGAGGAATTGATCAGACGATAGCTGTGCAAAGGAGGCAAAATATGTATCTTTTCAAGATGGAGACTCATTCAGACACAGGCCTGTGATACCGACACTTACAGGCTAAGGCAGTGTGATGACCAGGTCAAAGCCAGCCTGGGCTACAAATCAAGGTCCCATCTTAAGAGAGAGAGAGAGAGAGAGAGAGAGAGAGAGAGAGAGAGGAAGAGAGAGAGAGAGAGGAAGAGAGAGAGAGAGGATAAATTTAATTAATGATTAATACTATTATAACCTGAGAAGAAGCATGTGGGCAACCACACAGTGAGGGACCAGATTATCAAACACCGGACTGTGTGAAAATCAAGTGTGTCCCCTACCTGGTATGACCAGGCCACAGCACTATCCCATTTCCATTCTCCAGAGGTGCTTTCCTTAGGGTTGCCTGTTGTCTAACTGGCTCCCACCAACTTGGGCTCCCAGGTGTTTTTGCCAGACTGTGGGGTGACCATCAATCAAACTGTGCCCCTGTCTGGGACTGTGATGCCTCAGGCCCCCGGTATGGTTGGATAGTGTGTTATAAAATTTATCCCAGTGCTCACTTTGTTTAAATATAGATTAGCATGTTCTGCTTCAAAATGAAGGTCTAGTTTAATGTTATAAAAACTGTCTCCACTTTTTAATAAATCTCTCAAGGCACATTCACAGCATAGTACTAAGTAAAGTCATGAGACAAATTCAGTGGATTTAGGAGAGTTTTGAATTTAATATGTATGTTATTTTGTTAAGGCTCAAATTCACTATCTATATGGTATGGAAAGTTCCATATTGAATTAGTCATTGGATGGGGGCATATACTATAATATAAGAAAAGAAGAATCCTTGCTTTCAATTAAGTTATCATTTTCAAAATTCACATATTTCACACTAAGTACTTTAAATATTCATCTTGAGCTGTGTGTGGTGTTTCAGTTGTAGAGCATTTGCCTGCTGGTGGGTTCGGTCCCCAGCAAAACAAACAAACATGACTCCCACCTATACATCAACCTGATAGAGTGGGTGGCTTGTACCTGTAGTCCCAGCCACTGGGGAGACTGAGGCAGGAGGATTGCTGGAGCCTAGTAGTTCAATACTACCCTGAGCAACATAGTGAGACACCATCTCAAAACAGAAATCCCATATATCTTATTGAATCGGGCTTATTCATGCCAAGTATTTATAAGAAAAGCACATCATGTATAAACCTTTTCCACGAAAGATAAACAAGGTTCAAGTAGTTGAAGGTTTTGTAGGAAAACAACTCGAAACAGCACTGCGTTCAGCAATGCATGAGGCAGCATGCGCATTTGTGATTTCCATTAGACTCTGAATACATCATTCACTGAACCCGTATCCTGGCTGTTCACCATGGGCCAGGGAAACTCTGTGCTGGGGGAAACAAATCCATCTACATGAGCTCCTCGCTTGAAACATCCTCCCACTTGCCCCCCTTTCCTCCCTATGGTGCTTGAGACAGAATAAAAAGAGAAAGCCCAACGGGACCAGAACTGCAAGGGACATATGGGAATTCTCTCTTTGTGGAGCAGCAGCTGCCAAGATGGAAGAGTCTGCACAGAGTCACTTCCTCCCCTCATTTTGTATGATCTTTACATTTTGACAGCGAAGACTGGAAAGGTAATTATCTTTGTTTCCAAGGTTACTTCCTGAATATCTGACAGTGGTATTCTAGCAGCAGAGCCCAGGGCATGGGGGTGGGGTGGGGGTGGATGACAATTACCCAAATGAATCCGTAGGTTTTTAACAGGAGTAGTTAGAGGATTTACAAAAAGCCTCCCATTATGAATAGGCCCGTGGAAAGAAGGCTATTAGTTTGAATGTGCCATCTTGTGAAATATACTCCCCTCCATTCTTGAGCTGACCTAGAATTAGGGTTTCCCCCTTGGGAATGAGAAGAGGGCTCATTTGGATTCAAGGACTACAGACTGATCAATTAAAATGCGTTCCCTTTAAAGGCCTGCGGCATTATCCCATTGCTTTGTAATCTAGCTTGAAATAGAAACTGCATTTAACTTGCTAATTGGTGCCCCCTTGGGATTTTAACCTGATGCTGAATGTATGCATCAATGTGGCCCTTTGCTGTTCTTTGACTCACATGCCATTAATGAAATTTCTGTGCTCTTTTGAAGGAAGGGCTATATTATAACATTCAGACACAATCATGTATTCATCCACACACAGAGCATTCTCTAGCGGGGACGGCAAACCTCCAGCATATTGCCAGGCCAAGGAAACCCAGAGAGCTCGTGTATAGAGTTCTTTTCTTTCTCGAAGCAAAATGATCAAATTTGTATAGATCCTGTACTGAAAGAAAATGATACTGTCAAAGCAAAACCAAACCAAAACAAACAAAAAGCCCCACAAAACCCCATTCTGATTATAAAACAGGGCATTCAGCCTTAAAGCAAGATTATAGTCTTAACAGCATCATCACCAAAAGGTGTTCTTCAGACAAAGAAAAACAGCCTCGATTAAGCAATCATTTTCGGATTCTGGGATGCTCTGGGCCTCACCACCTTCACCTCTGTGTTTGTTTATTAAAAGAGAAAGATCAATCCGTTAACATTTGACTTCTCCTCCTGGACAAAATAATTCTGGGACATGACTGACTGCGAGAAACCACACTAACAAGGCTCATTTTTTATGACCAGCTCCAATGGCTCAGTGAATGTATTGAGATGCAGATTCCAGAGAGCAAGAGACGTCTCCCTAGGGCTTCAAATGCCTACAGATGAGCTGCCCAGCACAGGCAAGCCTGCCCTCGGAAATATCATTCGTAAATAGGATTCTGAGTTCAGATGGGTAGGGAAGGCGTGGGCAGATTTTGTCCAGTCGTGTTGTGTGGGTTGCTAATGGGTCCAGGAATACAGAAGCGGGAATACAAAATACACTTCTCTGGAAGTTATTCTTGCTTCTTAATGTCAAGGGAGACAGGGAAGAAGGCACAGCTCCACTCTGTCATCTGCAACAGCCTGAGAAGTTCCCTTAGTCTTTTAGGGACCCAAATTCAGTCCAAACCTGGATCTGTGGTTTTGACAAAGCAAAATATTTGAGGACTAGCCAGTAGGAAACAGAGTTGGAGCTCTCTTGGAAGATGGTTTAATACGGGCTTGTTGTTTGTTACTTACTGGGCTCTTTTGGCTCTTTGGGGGGAGGCACCACCCAGGTCCCAAATAAATACACAAGAAGACTTATTACTTATAAATGCCCAACCTTAGCTTGACTTATTTTTAACCAGCTTTTCCTTTTTTTAATTGATTTTATTGAGCTCTACATTTTTCTCTGCTCCCCTCCCTTTGTCTCCCCTCCCCTTAAGCCCTCTCCCAAGGTCCCCATGCTCCTAATTTACTCAGGAGATCTTGTCTTTTTCTACTTTCCATGTTGGTTAGATCTATGTAAGTCTCTCTTAGGGTCCTCATTGTTGTCTAAGTTCTCTCGGATTGTGGTTTGTAGGCTGGCTTCCTTTGCTTTATGTTTAAAAACCACCTACGAGCGAGTACATATGATATTTGTCTTTCTGGGTCTGGGTTACCTCATGCAATATGATATTTTCTAGCTCCATCCATTTGCCTGCAAATTTCAAGATGTTATTATTTTTTCTGCTGTGTAGTACTCCATTGTGTAAATGTACCACATTTTCCTTATCCATTCTTCGATCGAGGGCCATTTAGGTTGTTTCCAGGTTCTTAGCCAACTTTTCTTAACTTAGAGTATTCCCGTCTATTTTTTGCGTCTGGGCGTTTATCTTTATCCTATATACCTTTCTTTACTTCTTACTCTGTGGCTTGCTATGTAGTTGGGTGGTTAGCCCCCGCAATCCTCCTTCTCTTGCTCCTAGATCTCATGGCTTCATCTCCCAGCCCAGATTTCTCTTATTTAATCTGCCTGCCATCCCCCCCTTTCTACTGTCTTGCTCTTGGTCATTCAGTTCTCTATTTGATCAATCAAATGTTTGAGACAGTCAAAGTGACACAGCTTCACAGAGTTAAACAAATGCAACATAAAAGAATGCAGCACATCTTTGCATCATTAAAACAAATGTTCCACAGCATAAACAAGTGTAACACAGTTTCAAATAATATTCTACCACATGTGCTTGTCCAAGAGGAGAAAGAAGCACTCAGAAATCAAGCGAAGGCATACTCAAGAGCATGGTATGAACTTCTGTAAGATGTCATACATCATTTTAGTTTCACAATAGTCTTATTGGGATTTGGGGAGTTTTGGAAGCAATTATATTCAAATTACTCCTAAGAAAACTAAAGGAA